GAAGGCAGCCAGACCGGGAGGAGCAACGACTGAGGAGGGCGAGCCGCGCCTCGCGGGCAGCCCGCTCCGCCGGCTTTGGATCGCCGGGAGCCCCTCCCGGGAGAAGAGGCCCATAGCCCGGGCGGGGCGGCTTAAACCCTTTTCGTTTTAAGGGTGGGATCCCCCGCCCTCTCCCTCCTCGGAGGGCCGCTGAGCCCGTCTGCCGTTCCTCCCCTGGAGCGTCAGGCCTCACGTCCGGCTGAGGTGTAATCTTCTGAATTACTGTATTCGGAGAAGCAGCCCCCCCCGCCCCTTTGTAGGCCCAGCCGCCCCTCAGCCGGGTTCGGGTGCAGCCCTTGCGGGTCTGCTGCTCCGTCCATTGACCAGGGAATCGGACGAGGTCAGGGGAGAGCTTTGCCAGCGGGACCCGTTTAAGTTAAAAGCAGGGCTGCGTGCCCCTGGTCCCGAGAGTTACCCTGGCACTGGAACCTGGTGTGGGTGAAAGTGGCAGAGTTTTCTGTGTTCCGTGCCTGTGTGGAAGCGGAGAAGAGAGTAAAAGATCTGGGTATGCGAAGCAGGCAAAGCTTCATAATATATTTCCTACTGCGGCAGGTTAGGAAAACCATGGTTTGTGGAATAAGCCAGAATTCAGGTAAGCAAATAACTGTGGCTTACTTGGCCAGTTCCTAGTTCTTTTTAAGCTAATCTTGCCTTGGATTTTTACAGATGGGTTAGGGGCTTGAGCAAACCAAAAATATAAACTGGGACTAAGGAAGGAAATTAAAAAGGCCCCTGTGTTGATGTAGTCTGCTATTTCATAGTTGTAGTGAGTAAACCTTAAATTATGGTCTGTTGGCTAACCTTATCTGTACAAAATGCTAAGCCAAAAACAAGTCAACAACGTGGCTTAATGCAGTGCATGGGATGAGGTGTTAAAATGCATGGACTAGTGGGAAGCTATTCTTGAATATATAAACGATTGGAAAAATGATTGAAGGCAAATATTTAAGATGTAGCACACCTAATTTCCCCATGATACAGACATGGGAAGAATCAGATGTAATCATAACCTACAAAACCACCGATTGATTAAAAAATCTTAAAATACATTTAGAACTGCATTTCGTTCTTTCACACTTTAAATGCTCATGAGAAACACTCTACTGTTTTGATGAGGATGCACTGAGAGGATGTTTTTACTAAAAAAAAAAAAAAAATTCCTCCCCATACTTACATAATGGCTTATAAAAATTGGTGAAGTAGCACACGTTAAAAAGTAGTTCTTTCAATTAAGAATATAAGTGCCTATATTCTTTTGATGCTGTGTATTGTCAATTAGCATAATATTCTGTCCAAAGGTCCTTTAACCCTTCACTCAGATATGTATATTAATCTCAGTGGACTAAAACCATATAGTGTTGACACAGCTGATAATAGTGAAAAAGTGGACAATTATGATACGTCAGATTTGTATCCTGGTCTTCCTCAAAATTTACTCAGAGTGGTATGTATGGTCTTAGTCTACTATTTTCTATTGTTTCACTACCATTTTTACTTATTTTACTATTTTCACAAAGTGTGAAATATTTTGAACCAAACAATATTCAGTATTCCAATACAAGTCTATTTTACAATTAAGAAATTCAGTATGGGGTCTCCTGGTCCAACCCTGCCTAAAATTACTTTGTCTTTCAGAGCATGTAATAGATTTAGGGTATTAATAATTCTGCTTTTCCTCAATATCAGTATTTTAAATGTCAACTAGATAGAATTAGATGGCCATGTTCCCCTGCCTTTCCTTGTGATGGAGTATATTTTAAAGAAATATGATCTCTGAGCTCTGAAATACTGTTTAATATTTTATATTAAAAAAACAAAGATGATAACTGAAGACTTCTTATGGTACTTCTTATGAACATAGGTGATTTTTCTAATAGTCAGCGTTAGTAACGTGAAACAATTTCAAGAGCTAGCATAGAACAACTTGAAATATTGCTTTTCAGCTTTATTGTACAAAAAGATCCAATTAACTTAATTCTAAATTTATTGATGTGACAGTTATAAAATAAAATCCAACAAAGATGTGTCACATGTTTAATCTAAGTATCTTTAGCTATCTTCCATATTACCTTTTCCAATGTAGAGAGGATACATTTACTTACAAAACCTATTTTATATCGCTTAGTGGATATTCAAAATTCTAGAAAATCAGGAGGGCTTGTAAATGGGCTGATTTCTAAAGTATATTTGAATCCATAGTGGTTTATATAAGAATGTGATCTCTGTATCTGTCCTTGCTTTAATAGAAGATATATCAGTAATAATAAATTTGGCTGGATGTTACCTATTTTTACAATGGTTTTAAACCTTTGAGATAGTATTTATTTTATTGAAATAGTTCTACTTTTCCCTTCGATATTGCCGTCCTAATGTCAGCTGAACAAATAAAAATATAATAGTCAGCTGATAATGCTGTTCCTGCATTACCATCTGTAAAATTCAATAGCTGAGTAAAAGTAATCCAGAATGATACAACAGTCAGTGCTCTCAAGTGCCTGAGAGTTCTGACAGCAGATCTTGTACATGGTAAGGAAAGGGCAACAATTCAGAGAAATTGGAGAAGACTCCAATTCATATCATTCCCAGCCAGTACTGAAGGCTGCAGGTTTCTTATAGCTGGGAGAGACAATACTGAACAAGGGAGAACAAAACTCTGATAGTTTTAGAACTTCTACCAAAGTAACCAAGCAGTTTTAAGTTTTAAAATCAGGACCAAGGTACACAGAATATAATCTCTGCTATCTAGGAATAGATGGAGTTGTTTATCCATCATCCAGTTGAGCATCCTACTTCTAAAAATTTGAGTGAGCTGCTGATATTTTGGAAAAATAAAAGTTGGGTCCATTTTTTTAAAGAGTAGACTTACAGTCTCTTACTCAACTGTACTCAAAAAGCTAAAATCCTTTTGGATGTTTGATTGAGCATCAACCATGGAAGCACTGTATGTTGCAAAAGACTATGGAGCATAGTTTAGAGTGTACACTTAAGGCTTATTGTTACATCGTATTACTTGAAATGGTAGTCTAAAATATGATTTTCTGTTTTCTAATACAGTACCAATTAAATTAGGAAAGCTTCATATCATCAAAAGTGTTTTTCTTGAGCTTACTAGGTTCTTTGAAATGCAGTTTGAGAACCACATATTTTGCATTTCCCTCTTTAGAACACAAAATAGTTATAATGTAGCTTTTTTATGCATTGTGTCAATGTATGTGTCTGTCTCTGGAGTGGCCTAAGGAGCCAGACCACTCCAGCAACAAAGGCTGATAGACAGTTACTTGACAAAGGAGCTTAAAGACTTTTCTTATTATTTATTACTCAGGGATCTATACTGTTCCAGTGAGATGATTCTGATCAACTTATAAGACCTCAGTACTGTATTATAAAGTACAACACCATAGGGCCCTCCTCAACTTCCCTTGTAAACATTTGACCAATTCTTGGAGGGGGAGTAATCCTTCCATTCCATCTCCATATAGGCACTCCTAAAGAGCCAAGTCTTCTCTCAGGGCAAGTGATTCCAGAGGAGAGGGCCATCACCAAGGATGCTTACCCTCAGGGTCCCTGATGTTCAGTCTCACTCCATGGAGAGATTCTGCACAGAGCAGGTAGACTAGAATACCCAAGTACTAAACAGGAAAGAACTTGAAAAGTGTAAACATGGATCAGCTTACAGTAGTATATAGAACAGAAGCTCCTAAAATCAGGATTTGACTCCCAACATCTGTAATATTCCATTTAGTTTCAGTCATACTTATATAGTATTTACTTTTTGTACCATATTTACCATTTGGTATCATAAGAGCCAGTTTGATGTAGTTTTTAATATGCACAGAGGCACAGAAACTGGCTAGTCAATTTTGGGCCAAATCTCTCTGTCTCCACCCCACCTCACAAAGTTATTGTGAGGCAAACAGAAAGAGGGAACATTGTGTACACCACCTTGAGTTGTAAAAAATAAAAGGGAGCTATAACTCTAACATAAGACATTTATACAGCTTGTTACATATAAATCCCATGTATTTTTTTTTGTTTTTAGCATAATGTAGACATGTCAATTTTTTATCTTCATTCAAACAGTATATAAAGATAAAGGAGGTATTTTAACAAAACTATGAAAATTGACTTTGCAATCATTTATTCAACAAAAAGTTAACAGAAATAAGATATTTCCTTCTGTGGAAAAAGTAAGTACAGCTTTGGCGCTAATGGCTGGTATTGCCCTTTTGGAAGAAACAACCTCAAGTAGGTGTTTCTTACAAATGTTTACCAGTCCAATGTAGATTGGGAAGATTTTTTTCAGCTGTGCGATGTTTAAGTGGTTTCTTGCATGCATAGCCCGTTTAGATTACCCCAAAGCATCTCGATGGGATTTAGATCTGGGCTTTGACTTGGACATCCCAGAACTCTCCATTTCTTTCTTTTTTTTTTTAGCCATCTCTTGGTGGATTTACTAGAATGGTTAGGGTCGTCTTCATGTTGCAAGGTCCACTTTTGGTTGAGCCTCAGTCTTCTGACAGATGGTCTCATATTATCCTCTAGCACCCTCTGGTACAATGGGGAATTCATAGTGGATTCTGTGATAGTGAGTCACCCAGGCCCTGACGCAGCAAAGCAGCCACAGAACATAACATTTCCACCACCATGCTTTACAGTTGGTATCAGGTTCTTCTGGTGAAATTCTGATTTCCACCAAACATATCTTCTGGTACTGTGGCCAAATATCTCTCTTTGCCTTGAATGTCCAGAGCACATTGTTCCATAGATCCTGGTCTTTATGTAGGTGTTTATAAGCAAACTTTTAGTCTGTCCTGATGTTCTTTCTGGACAGCAAAGGTTTCTTCCTGGCACACCTCCCATGTGGATCTAATTTGTGCAGCTTCTTTCTAATGGTAGACTCATGCACTTTGACATCAGTAGTGCCAAGAGCTACATGTATGTCATGTGATGAAATTCTGAGGTTCTTAGAGACTTCTTTCAGCATCTTCCATTCTGCTCTTGGGCTGAACTAGCTGGGACAGTGTGGCTTGGGCAAATTGACAGTTGTTTGAAATCTCCTCTGCTTGTAGATGATCTTCCAAACAGTGGAATGATTGATGTCCAGTTGTTTGGCAATCTTTTTAAATTTCTTCCCAGGCTTGTAGGTATCTCTAACTTTTCTGAGGGCCTCAGAGAGCTCTTTAGATCTAGGCATGGTGATACCACACACTTCGACAACAAAGAGCAAACCAACTAAATGAGTTTTCAATAAAACAGGCTCCTCCCCGATCCTCTCTGATGATGATCTGATCATTTGCACCCGATCTGGTGTGCTTGATTCTAATCACAGGAAGTGATAGATGTAATTTTCCACATGCAAAATTTGAATTTATGTTTATTGAAATTACACAATAGATTACAAAATGTAAATGGTGCATGATGTTTGTTATAATATTTATGAGTATTGTTGAAATAAGTTCAAATACCACTAAAACAATATTTCATGCAAAGTCTTTTAAACAGATGGCGTAAATTAAAAGATTTCCTAGAAAATATAATTTAATAAAACTGGATTAATTTTTTAATCCACTTTTTGATTCTGCAATGTGGGTTTTCCCAAAAATGTTGAATTGGAAAATTTATCCTGTGTTTAGTCAATGAGACTTCTTAAAGTCTGTTTAGAAGTAACAGAAGATACTGAGCATGTTTAATATATTGAGTTCAGCATATGTTGTTGTTGTTGTTGTTCAGTCGTTAAGTCGTGTCCCCATGAGCCATATCGCGCCAGGCCTTCCTGTCCTTCACTGCCTCCCTGAGTTTGCTCAG